GTTTATGGTAATACTACAACCAACAACTAGGCACAGTTTTGTTGATATGGGAGGTTTTAGGTTCCTGTCTTTTCTGTGGTGTTAAAGTGTTATTTTTGTGTAATTCTTTAATATAAGGAGTAGCTGACTAAAAATAATCTTGTGTGCTGGATCTGTGTTGTGGAATATGGAGAGTGTTGTTTAAAAAGTTGCAAACGGATCACTTTGTTGAGCTTTCAGAGGGGTGTAGGTGAGCTCTGGGACTGAAATCAGACAGCAAAATAGACTGCAATTCCTGAGAGGTTTGTGTAGCATGATTTTACAAGTGAAATCTAGAAATAATCTTGTGGAAATGAATGAATACTACAAAATTTGATTGGTATTTCTCCTCCAGCTTCTATTTTCCTTCTGACTCTTTCGGAGTATGCTGTTAATATTTATACCATGGTAACACTTGTCACAGTGATCATTTTTGGTATTCTGGTGCAGGATGTTACTCCTCCTTCCCTCCCAACGTGCCCTTTAATTACAGCCTGTCACAGGAATGTCTGGGAAAGTGAATAATGTGTACACAGCAGCCCTGATGGCTGGCCCAAAGGGTGCTGGGAGTGGGGCTGCTCCCGCTGTTGTGTTCTCACACTCTGCTGTAGACAGCCTGAAAACGTGACATGCCTGGCAGGAGACATGCAGCACTTGAAAGCTGTGCTTTTGCTGCTTGGAACAGGCTAGTAGAAACATTTTGATAAATTCTCCAATGTGCAGATCATTAAGGTTCTTGATAGTATTTAAAGCGGCAGTCCTGTTATGCTATTTATATTGAGAGCATCACCAAAGCAGGGTAAAATTTTTAATATTTGCCCAAATTTTGACATTAATTTTCTGTGATCTTGTCTGTCTCTGAAAGCCTGACTTTTTGTATCGGCAAGAAGAGTCTTAACTGACTACTTTCAAATGCAAATTGCAACTTTCTGGCTCAGTTGTGTTCATCAAGAAGGTTGTTTTATGTGGAATTGATGGATGCAATAATTAATAGAGGAATTGTGTTTCCAAAGTCTTCAACAAAGTCATCATACAGTAGTCATTAAATAAGTTTCTCACTTTTTCATCCTTTCATATGTAATATTTGCTGTGAAAGAAGCAAGAAGAATTTCAATTTGGAAATTCAGTTTAAGCATTAGATGCAACCAGGGAAAACACAGTAATTGGACTTGGGAATCTCATGTTGAGGAAAGGCCACCTGAAGCAGAAAGTAAAAAGCTTAAAGTCTTGTAGTATCCCTTGAAGCCTTTGCTCAGATAGGCACAACTCCCATTTCCCCCAACTAATCTTCTTGTCTAAATGAAAGCAGAAGCATCACACAGGAGTGTGATCCATTGGCGACGTGGGGAAAGATCTATTTCAGAAGTTATGTCAACACAAACATTTGATAAATTTGAGAAAGTTTAGTCATATAATAAAGTACAGTTTATTTCTATTTACAGAAATACATTTCTGTATAATGGAATTTAATTTTACACTACCTTTATATGCTTCAGTACATCTTTCTTTAAAATGTAGGTGCTTTACATGCTACCCATAGGCTTATCTCTTCACCATGTTATTTTCAGTCTTGGCAACACCTTTGTAAGTTGGATTATTTAGTATACTACAAACTACATATTCAGGTGCCTGTTAGTAAAGTTCTAGTTGACACTTTCTCGTTGCATTTATAAAGGAAATAGAGCCCCTGTATGCATTCCAGGATGGCAGTTTCTGCTGTAGAAAGTCTGGGGCATTCATTTAGAAGGGCACCTTGGGATTTTTTTTTCCTTCTTTTTCTTTTTTTTTTTTTTTTTTTTTTAATTTCTGTACATTTCAGATGGATCTTAGTTGCATTATCAAATCCTTCATTGTAATCATCTGGGCTTGAATTTCTTTCCCTCTTTTTTAATAAATATAAAACTAGATTGTTACATAACCCTAAAATTCCATTTTAAAAGGGGCCCTTTGGTTTTTTTTTTTCTTTTTTTTTTTTTTTTTTTTTTTTTTTTTTTTAATGCATGAGATTTTACTCTTTTTAGATCACTGATTTTTAATTTTTTCCAGCTTTTTAGGAAACATTAAATTTTTTAATCTTTATTTCTTTGATTCAGCCTACTGATATTTGGTATAACTGAAGGTGAAACTGGGGAGAAAAATCTATGTAGCTATTTCAAATAGTCCTTCCGCTCATGCCCCTCCATCAGTGCATACACCAGAAATAACACTCCCCTATATTTTGAAAACAGTGGCTTCATGGAGTGTATTTTGGCAAGGCAAGGTAGCAGGTGGTGTTGGAACATTTCAGACACATGGTGAACAAGTTCCTGTTCTTGTCTGCCGCAGACAGGCTCCTCTGTCTGGGAGAGGGTGGCACAGATATGTACCGAGGAACACAACTATAAAAAGTCAAACCTTTAATAAGGAAGACTTCTGTGCCAGTAAGAGAATATTTCTAAGTCTATGCTTTACCAAAAGTTACTATTTCTACTTCCAGTGGAAAAAAGGGGGTAAGGCAGAAGGTAAAATAGGAATGCCTTTAATCAGCTCAAGTCCTCTTGCCATGTGACTTAAACCTGTCTTTTATGCAGTGTCTGGGCAGATGTATGAGCAGAGCTCTTGGAGGCTGATATTGGGACTTGGATGGCAACTCTCAGCTTATGTCAATGTGCCTCTCAACCCCTGACTCACAGCTAATTCCCACAGTAGTGAGATACAGCACATTCCCTGCTCAGTGGTTTTTCCTTGGCTGGGTGTTCAGCTGCAATATTTTGAACTGTATTTGCAGAATTTCTCACTGAAACTATACAGACAACAGCAAACAGTTCTGTGACAACTTAAAAAAAAAAAAAAAAAAAAAAAAGCTCATCTTATGGTATATCATCTTGTGCTTTCTGCCATCATTGCCCAGATTTTGCAGTGCTTCCTTCCCAGAGACCCTGCAAAAAGCAACAAATTCCTCACTATAAGGTTTTAAAGTAACCTGGTCATATGCAGTGAAGAAAATGTATTTTTAGACATACCTTGGTTACTAAAGCAGTTCTGAAATACAGTGGGACACAGGCCTTAATGCTCAAACCCCAGGTACAAGGAATTTGTTTGTGTATTTTCTTTTAAGGTTATATTGAATGGTAGTTATATTAGGGTTAGGGCATTCAAAACACTTGGAGCAGGGTTTACAGTTTATTGTCAGCATTTAAAAATTATCAGTAGTCAGAGAGTGGAACATCTCTGTTGACACATGGACCATTGTACTCAGGAAATAACGTGCTGCTTCCTGCCAGCCTGAAGGCTTGTTGCCATTTTTCATTTCTGCTGGCTCTGAGCAGCGTTGGTGTCTAAGACACAGCACTGTCCATTAGTCACAGGTGGAGAGCACTGTGAGGTGACAGGTATGTCCTTGTGAAGTAGAGATATCTGGTAGGAGTATTTCACTGGGAATATAAACTATTTTTGTAGTTCATGGTGTGCACAGCTGAGTGCTCTCTTTGTCTGTACTTTACTGCACAGCACATCTTTATGGACTGTGATTATAGCAAGAGGTATTTGGGCTCTCCTACTGATGTCGCTGTGCATATTACACCACCTGTGCAGCCAAGAGCCTTTCCAAAAGCATGGCATTTACTTTGCTTATGAAAGCTGGCATCCACATATGGTGGATGTTTGCTGTCAGCTGCTTTGATTGCTTGATTGCAGGAATTTTTTTATTTGATTCTTTGACTCCTGTACTGAATAACCCAAACTGATGGAGAAAGAGATGGTTGAACTTTGTGTCTTCCGTAGGCAACCTCCTGAAATAAATGTAACAGCCAAAATGTTGACAGGTGATCTTGTAGTATATCTAGTTGTGCCTCAGCACTGTTATGCTGTAATAGGTAATTAGGAGGAAAGTAAATAAAAAAGAAATCCCATGTATTGAGTTTGATTGGGGTGCCCAGAGCTGTTCTTGAGTCGGTAATTTAGTTGTTTGTGCAAAGTCAGAGACCTGGACATCACACTTGCACATGTTCTCAAATAGCATCATTAATTAGTTTAAAGAGTCAAAAAGGGAATTATGAATGTTTTGCATAGCCCATTGGAAGCACTCAGTGATTTTACAAATTGTACTGATTAGACAACCAATTTTAAAGAAACAGTCTCAAAGACTCAGATGGCAGAGCAATCTCTCACAGCTATTGGAAATTAGGTAAAACTACTAGTTTCTCACTGATTAGTCCATTTTGGTGCTTGCTTTTAATGCATTGTAGTCAGTGTATAGAAGCCAAGTTTGACATGTAATGCAGAAAGTATTGCTTGGATTTTGGTATTCTGAAACACAATTTTGATTTAGTACTCATACTTATTTTGATATACAAAATATCTTTGTCAGTGCAATTATGTTTCACAGAGTTCCTATGTGGAAAGCGGCAATTGCTGTGTTTGGTTTATGGTGGCATGAACTGCTTGAGGAGAGAGGCTTTCCATGGTGGGGGGGATACCTGCTCATACTATTGAACCTGCCTGTGGCACACTGGTGGGAGCAGGGGAGATTAGAGATGGTAGTCCCCAAATTCATATCTGACATCTGTGAGATCAGGTCACATCACACAAGTTTGACAGGTAAGCAAATGACTTTCCCCTTAAACTGTGATGCTTGTACACTTGGGAAGCTGCAGAAAAGAGCTGGGAGTTAGATTAATGCACAGAAAAATATTTGTTAGTTCATGCTTTGAGAAAGGCTCCAGTGATTGCCCTGAGATTAAAACATCCTTTTAGAATAAGGTAAAAACCTGCATAAGCAGAGATAAATAAAGTTCATTGTTATTAGTGTGACACTTTCAGGACCACAAATTCATCCCAACTGTTTTAACACACTGGCCTGGGTTCCTGTGCTGGACTTGTTGGTGCAAAAAAAGAACTTCCCAGGGTCTGATGTTTTTTTTTTTAATTTACCTTACATAACAGAAAGTTATTGTCACCTAATGACTATGATATGCAGTGGGCTAATGATCTGTCTGTTTCAGTTTGCAGCTCATTTAGTGAAAAGCAAGTACCCAAGGGTCTGCATCCTTGATGGAGGAATCAACAAGATCAAGCCCACTGGTCTCCTCACTGTTCCCTCTCCACAAATCTAAGTGACTGAAACATTCAGGACAATCTGTCTCAAGAGGAAAGTCCTACCTACAACAGAGATATCCTGAACCTAAAGGGCATTATGGCATCTTCACAAGCTATCCTGGTGATCAGTGTCTTATCCTGCAGCTGTAGAGCCCAGGAGTTTTGGGTTTGTTCTTTAACAGAGGGCTTCAGTTGGAATTGATCAAAACTGAAGTTCTAAGCTTTCCAAGAAACCTCTTTCAGCACTGATGCAGTGCAGAAGTGCTTGGGCAAGTCTGAACACAGAGAGAGGAAATTACCTGGCTTTTGGTGTCTTACATTTCTGTGAACAAAATTAACTGGCACTTGATGGCTCTAAGGTGCACTTCGATTATTTGAGAAAGTATTTTACTGTGAATATTGAAAGTAGCAAAATGAAAATGTACCATGTATATTGTGTGAAAAAGTGTGTTCCCTAATATTTGAAAATTAATTGCTGTATCTTCTGACTTGCTTTATTTCTGAAGAAAGTGGTTTTTTCATCCGGTTTGGAAATAAAGATGTGTCCCACATTGAAAGTCACTGTAAGAGCACCTGCTGATTCAATCCAAAATCTCTCACAAGATGGAAAATTTCTTGTAGTTTGTGGTGAATTTAACAATCTATTTCTATAATCATATCAAATCTAACAATTTCTGGAACAATTACAGCTACCAGAAAGGTGGGCTTTCAACAATACTGTGTCTTAAGAGTATAAATCATTTATTCCTAAAATAATAGTGTGCTTCCATTTTAGAATCTCATGCCTTGGAGGGAAACATTGCAATTTTAATTTTCATGTGAAAACATTCTGGAATTATCACACTTGTATGAATTGGAACTTGAGAGTTTTCTTTGGCCCTCTCCTCTTTCAGCTAGTGGTGTCAATTTTCTTGGGGATTTTTTAGGTCCTTGAACATGAACTTGAACACTGACAGATTGGGACAGCAGCCTGCTTTGGAACTGGGCTGGATGCAGGTGCTGCAGATGAGTGGAAGCAGGCTCCCACAAAGGGCATAGGTGGCTGTGAAGTAAAGATGTGGGAATTACTTTGCAGTAAGAAGCCAAAAGCATTTAAAACACCAACAGAAACAGGAGTTGGCATATCTCTAGCTGAGATGCTAAAAATAAACTTGATTCGGACAGCTACCACCTTTCAAGAGATGTGGGGAAAAGAAATCCCAGCACCCTATTCCTCCCCCTCAAAATCCCGTGTTAGGTTTGCTATATTGTCAGGTCTATTATTCTAAAAATAATGCTTGAGATGGGAGGAAGGCTAGGAAAATAAAATCCTCTGTCTTCAAGAATGCTCCTTGAAAATATTACATTTAATCCAGGAAAAGTAGTTATGATAATGTAAAACTGTCAGTATAGCACTGAAATTAAATGGGAATGTGGAAGAATGTGTTTTAGAAGACTAGAAGGTGTTAGATTTATCTTTTTACATTTTTAAAGCTGGAAAAACTGATGCAACATGAGGCTTAATAATCACTGAAGTGTGAGGATTAAAGTGTATTTTGTAAAATTAACAAAATTATACCAAAGACCTGTTCACCTGGTTACGGTCACATATCAGCTTGCATTGTGAATTTGACACCCTGCTCTTTTATTAGAGCATCATCTGAAACATGGCAGTTTCCACAATACAAGCTCACTGTAGGGTAATGAGGATTTGCTTTGGAGGTGGGATTATTGTATGCCTTATTTGAGGATTTTACATCAGGTATAGGGAATAGTTTTAATTTGGCAAACAGAACATTGCAGCAGCTAACTATTTTGTTTTTCTTCTGTCACAACAGGTTTCCAAAACTGAGAAGTCTAAGAGAGAGGTGGGCAATGAAAGGCTGGGAACAGTTTCTGTAAATCACAGGCAACCTGATCACTTGTTCTGTGGAGTTTTTTAGTGTTGGTGGTTGTAGGTTTGGGGGTTTGTGGTTTTGGGAGGGGGTTTTTGAACTGAAACTGTAGAAGATGACACTTTGTGAGAGGTGCTGAAAGAGGAAGTCTTCATTCTCTTGGTGGGGCAAGCAGAAGGTTTTCTAGAGCTCTTCAAAGATTTCTGGAGGCTGAGTTTTCCAAACACGTGCATTTCTAGAAGCATGGTTTGTCCAGCTGTACCATTCTCTGGTTTAGACTGCAATTGGATGCCATAAAGATTTAATAGGAGAAAAAAAAACATATTAATGTTCCGTGTTGGTGTCTTCTGCTGCTAACATAAAAATATCCTAACTAAATATTGCCCACTGTTGGGCCTGGAAAATGCAGCCTCTCTTAGTCTGTTTTTTCCTACCATTTTAAAAACATCCTAAATCTGCCCCAGCCACCTGGGCCTATAGCTTCCTGCCAGGACAGCCATATTCCCAGAGGGTACCCATGTGGGCTTCTAAAAAATGCAAAGGAATTCATTTTCTTTGGCAGCCTTAGACCTATTGATCATTGCAGACTATGGAACAATTGCTGCTGATACTGGAGTGTCCTTCTTCAGACAGCATACAGTCCTTTGAGCTTTTTATTGCAGTTTGCATCTAGGTTCCTTGGGATTTATTTTGTTTTTACAAGTGGATATTTGTCCTGTTTGGTTCACTTCTTTTGGAGAAAAGACTAAGACTATTTGTTCTTATCCTAGAAACCTCCCTTCCTGCACCCATTTTTTTTCCCTTTGTCATCCTGGTTTCTCCTATGTGCCTAGGTTCCCTGTGACCAGGGTACCTTCCCAGTTCAGGACAGGAACAACTCACAATGCGGCAGAAAGGAGGGAAGTTACAGTGTTTGCTTCACTCTAACTTTCACTAATCTGGTTAGTTTGAGATATTTCTGGTTTGTTGATTTTGGGAAGGTTTTGTTGATTTTTGCGATGTTCTGTTGTTAGCTCAATTTAGCATAGGTCTTCCAAATTCTGTTCTTCCCACTGGTAGTCTTTTTTGGTAGAGTGTTCTGGTAGACTCTTCCTGAAATATCTGAATTAGAAGCAGTAACCATAGCAGGTGGGCAGATGCTGGTATGTATTCTTTCATTTAGATAATTTCTTTTTCTGATTTCCAAGATGATCTCTAGAACGGCTAAGGGCTAATTAATTTGTCAGAGTGGGTGAGGGTTACATTTTCTTCCTTCTTTTTCCCAATTTTAATCTGTCCTTAGGTTTACTGACAAGACCACTGCAATTCAATGTGTTTCCTGGGCCTTTGTTCATTCCTGATCTGTGTAGGCATTACACAGTGGTATGATCTTATTTCTGTGACCTTCTGGATATCAGTATCTACACTTCCTGTGATATTTTAACCAGCTAAGGAAGATTTTTATTAGAGTATCTCTTAGCTGGACTTCAGAGCTGCACCACACAAAACTCAATAAAACAAAAAACCCCAAATGACATGACTTGGTTCTTCAGCAGCTGCATCACTGCTGCTGTTACTGAAGGAGGTACTGTGAGAGCCTCTTAGTTCTGTGGCCTGAGACCTATTTGCTGCTCTTATTTACAGGGTGTGAATGTTGTACAGAATATCACTTTTCAAGATTTAATTTATGTTTGTACTTTTAGTAGCTTATCAAGTTCCTTCAGTTAATATAAAAAATTAGGCATGTCTTTATTTAGCTTTCACAGTGTTCAGATTGAGTTATTGAGGCCTGGGAATTGTGTGGGACTGAGTATGGCCTTTTAATCTCCCATTTCTTTTATCTTTTCTTTGCTGATGAGTCAGACTGGCCTCTCCCATTGTTACATTAGAAACTTTGCTGTCATCAGTCTTATCTTGCTATTTTTAATTCTTTTTGTTGGGTCTAGCTTGTGAAAATTGACTGAAAGAATTATTATTCTTCCCAAAAGTGTTTCTTTCCAGGAGAAGTAATGAAACTTGATCTGTGCTGACTTAGCTAACATCCGATTTGTATATTTGACTAGCAAAATTACAGATTTTCCTCTCTCTTTGGATCCTAAATTATAATGCTGGTATTGTCAATCTTTTAGGTTTCCAGACTTAGTAGAAAGCTGATGCCAGAAACTGCAGGCTTGTTTGGAATTTGTGTTTCATTTACTTTTCAAGTAACCATGAAGCTTTAAGTTTGCCATTGGTAGTGTCTTTTAACTAATAGCCCCAAAATACCTGTTGGACAACAGTCTCTGTTCTATGACAACAGAGTCTCTATGCCTTTCATGTAGGTTTAAAAATTCTTCTTGTACTGCCAAAAACATTTATGATTGAAGATAATTCAGTTTTGTTGTATGTTTCTCATTGTATCAGAATTTAATAAACCAATGTTATACAGAATTTAAAGATACTTAAACATAGAATCAGTAGAGTGCTATCACCACTAAATCAATTTGTAAGTATTTTTTGTAAAGCCTTTTCCCAAAATTTGTTGAACCATAATGTAAATCCATGTTCAGATTAATCTCTAATAGTGGTCTTGCATGTAAAGGTGGAGAGACCCCAGTGCATGCACTCCTGTAATTCATGTATTTTCCTTCCCTGCTGACAGGTCCTTATGTGCTTTAGGAGCAGAGACACCAGGTTTCCAGACACAGTAATCTCGAAAAGAGCAGATAAGGCAATGTGGTGATCATTGGATTCAATGGGAACAATCCAGGGAAAAGTTGCAGATCGCTGGTTTAATTAATATTTCGTAACTGAAGCAGGATTAAATGTCTCCTCTTTGTCTATCTAGAATTATCTGTCATTACCTCCTTTTAGAGAGAAATAGTGTCTGTTGGTATCAACTTTTTTCAGCTGAGCTGGCCAAAAAGAGTAAAACTGAGAGTACAGAACAAGTAGCTGTAATAGTTATGGGGTGACATTCTTGCCATTTTGTCAGTTAACTTGATTTTACTTGGTTCAGTTGCTACCCTAAATGTGGGGTTTTTTCTCACGTCCTTTGAAATTTGAATGAGCTAATATCTTTGATTTTACCTTTGCTGTAAAGTAAAGCTGTCATTTCAAACAACATTGTTTCTCCAGCCTCAAAGAAAAAGGTGGCATCCCATGTAGGATGTTGCCCTCAAGAGAGGAACTTGCTGGCTTTCAAGTTTTGCATGTCCTCAGTGTGGAGCTAGTTCAGTGGCAGCTCTTCAGCTACTGGAATGCCCATACTCCAGGTCTGGAGAGATGCCCCATGTACAATAAGAACCTGGAGGAAGCAACATGGAGAACTTAAGTGTAAAACTTTATGGGTATATGTGTAGCTATAATATATGTATGAATATGATATAGTTAGCAAACAGCTTACTTTAAATTGACAAGATTGTTAAACACTGCCAGCTCTTTTTGGAGAGTACTCTGAACTTAGAATAGCTCAAAGAGGTTGTAATAATTAAAATTTCTCCTTTGCAGTAATTGTATAGGTGTACAGTGCACACATATACATGTTAAGCCAAGGGCTTTACTAAACCAGGTAAGTCCTCTTGTCACTTCAGAGAGAAGTTTTCCTATTGCTTTTCAAGGAGAAACCAACAACATGGGCAGTTAGAACCCAGTGCTGTTGTAATATGCCTGAGCTCAGTTGTACTAATTACTTCTTTTGAAATGTTTTGTGCCTCTTGGTCCCA